TCTTTACCAGCTGGGTTAGTCATCCAGCACCTGTTTCCAAGTAACCAGCAGGCTACAATAAGCAAGCACTTTGTCATATTTAGCATATGTCAGTCAGGACACCTCAAGCACAAGGCTGACCATAATAAACCAACTGTGAGAGTCATACATGCACATGATGATGTGTTCATTCAGAGGGCTGCTCACCCATCCTTTTCTGTTCACGATCACTGCTCACGGCACGCCAAATAGACCCTCGGGCCAAATGTCTTGGTGCTCCCTACATACACTCCTCGCCTGCGCAGAATGCTAATGCAGATGATGTTCTTTTGTACTCGCTGTGATCCGTCACACATCTATGTTTTTTAAATGGCAGGTTATGTTTGTATCTAAGCGATTTCCACTACAGCGTTGAGCGAGCACGGTAATTTCTGAATAGAGCTCACAGCCGACTTAACACCAGGCTGCACCCATCATCCCACCGAGCAGTTCTGAAATAGTTGTAGTAAAATCTTCCTTGAGAGATGATGGAATAAATCTAGTATTCTGAAAGTATAATACATACACAGCTCATCAGGTATGAAGATATACAACAATTCAACTATTCCTCAGTGTAGCATTACTTTGTACATTGTGATGTTTTACCATGAGTCCCAATACCAGTAAAAAGACCATGAATTAGAAGTGTAGTCGCTCAATTGATGATGTTATTACATCTAAGGTGACTCATGGTGGCATCATTTGATCCCTGATGAAAACACCTAACACTCTTCATGTGGGCTTTTTTTGGAACTGTATCCTGTTTACGTGCAAGCTACGGCTAACAAAACGTCAAATATAGCCACAATTTGCTGCCATAGCGACAGTTTATCATCCTTATGTTGTTGTTATGAGGGCCATTGCTATCTTCCTGATCATCATCCCAAATGAATTAGTTTTCTATTCCCTTCAAATGTCTCAACCTCTGCCTCTCCACTTATCACAGAGAGCAGAAAAGAGAGAGTCCCGTATCCATCAGTTCTGAGATTCAGCGCCTCACTGGAGAAATAGCCTCTCTTCTGTTCTGGCATTTATCATTTATTGATGATGGTAATTGTTCCTGGCACCACTGAACAGAGCGGCCCAGACACAGTGGATATTAAGCCACTTTATCACCCTGAATGAAGGCAGCAGTTTCCTTGGCATCAGATGTCATATGACGGTTTACTTTTCATTGTCATTTAACAAACGAGTTTGTTGTTTGTTGCAAGTTTTGACAATGTCCTGGTAATGAAACTTCTTGTCTAATTGGATCCAAGACTTGCTCTCTATGGCAGCTGGCACATGAGGTGCATCTGCTATACAAGGATGAGCAGGATATGAAATGTGTCGTTTCCTCTCCACAGGCAGATGGGAAGTGCTCATCGAACCTGCCCTTTCTTTAATCATTTTTGATGCCAGTCAGTGGGTTGAAAATAAACCACATCACCTGGGCGATGGATAGTTCAGCTGTTCATATCTTTGCACTGGGTATATTTTGGGATATGATATGTTTTTTTGGAGATACTTTCAGATCATTGAGGCAGATTGCATTTCTCTTTGTGTCTTTAGTGCTTATAAAAACATGACGACTGTCGACTCAACTTTGTTTAGACAGCATTTTACACAGAACACAGCTAATCCTGAGTGCTTCGTGGTACTTCTGTGCTCTTGAAGGAAAGAAAGAAAAAAGAAAAGTGAGTCACAGTTACTTCTCAACAAATTTTAGAGCACTTGAGACACCTAAAAAGATGATCGAACCTTGTATGAACTCTCTCTTGGTTTTATATCTAACTCAAAATTTGAACAACACGATCATTATAATTTACAAAAAAAAGGGACAATATGCAGACCAGGAAAATGCTGAGATCCAAAAAAAAAAAAGAAAAAACTTTGAAAACTATCATACCCACTTGTGGTTTATGATACTTTAAGCTCTGCTGTCATTGTCTGAATTGGAGGACAGGATCTTGCTCTATGTGTCCTTGTCAGTAATAGTTGGGGCCTGGCAGGATTGAAATAAACCAGACTTTCAAACTTCCACCACCAAATAAAAATCACCAAATCGAATCAAATCAAATTTCATTTATATAGCACCAAATCACAGCAGTCATTATCCCAAGATAACTGTTGAAAAAATGTACTCCAAGGTTATGTTAGTAGTTTCTACTTCATCTCAGTGCTCCTCTCTGTATCACAGTTTGCCGCCTGCATTTCCCTTGTAGGAATTCCAAATAGGTGAATAATGACTGAGCCTTATCGTTGAATGACTTTACTAACCAATCGCTCAGCAATTTACATACATGGTACATTTCTCTCTCGTTTCTTCACTTTGTCACATCCAGCAGTATGAACTGTGGAAATATGGGATAAGTGCTACCAATTCCTGACGGAAATTACCCATCCTGGTTTTAATAAACATTTTATTTTTTCAGCCACGAAACCGTTACTTGGGTACAATAAAAGATTTGAGTGAATCACAGTGAAAAGCAGGAAACAGTCTCTACAGAGAGTAGCGAGGACAGATTAAGGGTAATAAGGGCATGAGAAAGCAGATAAAGCATGATAGTCATCACTCACGTCACAGCATAGTATTCAGCAACTCGACTCTGAAATCACTTTTTCCCCATTAATTTTCTCTTATGATTTTCCAGGGCTTTTTATCTGTTCAAAAAGCTGAACGGGCAAGTGGGAGGTCCTCTGAGGCTGAAAAACCAGCATGAATATGAAGTGATTTGAATATAAACTACGATGCCTGCAAAAGTGAATTATAGGCTGTAAGTGGGCTGAGCTTCTGGAGAAAGGAAGCAGGAGATTAAAAAGGAAGTTTGAAATGCCAGTGCAATCTGATTTAAAAAAAAAAAAAAAATCAACAACTGATAAGGAATCAATTAGCCGCACAAAATATCAGCTTTGTTCATCTCAACCATCTGAAGATCTAGACTTTATCTGACAGCTTGTGGAGGTATTTTCAGGCTTCATATTGAAATGGAAAATGTTTTCACCTCAGAGATGAATGACATACATAAAACAGGATATTGTCTTTTTTTATGTTAATCCTATGTGTAGAATTGCAGCGTTTAGCAGATCAGCCTGTTAGAAATGGAATATGATACTGGTACGTTTAAATTAGTGTATAATCACCTGAAAGACGAAGGAGAGCGCTTTTGTTGTACACCAAAAGGATTTGATACTGATGGATGTCTTTGATGGTTAAAACTGCGCAAATGAAGAATCATGCATCACAGGAGCTTCTTGCCCATGAAGGCCACTGCCGCTTCCCTGACAGGAAGGCGTTTCAGACTCTCACAGGAGATATTGCTAAGTATTCCCATTTATAGACAATAGACTGAATATAAAATGGACGTGGTTCAGTTGTTCTCCTCGCTGGATGAAGCCACCGCGAGAACAGCACCCTCTGGTGACGGGCTGCAGTACAGGTCATAAATCCTGCCTCCTCCAGCAATCCTTTAGAGCTGTGGACAAACTTTAGAAGTTTATTACACAGACATGTAGTTACTGTAAGACTGGTTTGAGCTCAAGTCCTTTTTTTTCTGTGCAGCTCCATTTTTAAAAGTTATAAGGGGTTCATGTTTTCAATGACTGACACTTGATACAGCCTACGGGTGTACGAAGATTACGTAGCTCACTGGGGGGTGAGCTATGCTGTTTGAGCAGAGCATCATCACAGTGACTTTCCTGCCGAATGTGTACAATGCTACTACGCAAGTGGTGGTTCAGGGGAGTAGAGAAAACCCCGAAAATACAGAGAGCAATTTGGCTTCAAATTCGTATAATGGCAAAAGGCAAAGCCAAGCAGTCCATAGTATACAGTCTATCTTTTATCTTTTTTTTTTAAATCATGATTACTGAGGAGTGTCTTCACGATTAAAAATGTTATTAAAAAATAATTAAGAAGGTTTTAGGCATCACCCATGAGCTAATCATACAGGTGCAGCTATTTGGTGTAAGAAGAAGCCTCAAAATAATGTCAGCAGACAAATAATTTAAGTGTGTGAGTCCTCACAGACCTGTGGATGAAATACAGTCCAGTTACTAGTAAGGTTTGTTTACTAGTAACTGGCCCCAGTTTTGACATTTTTGGAATATTTGCAGTGTCTTCATGTCTTTATGATATCTTAAAGTAGGTAACCATTTAGCAGACACACATGTTTTGAGTTATATGTTAGTGCTGATTACCTCCAACACTAAAGCTTTCAGTAAACAAAGGGAATTTGATGTTTAAGTGATTCTAACTCTCCAGTGAGTCTTCCATCATGCCAGTCCCACTCCACTTTCTGCAGCTTTAAAAAAAAGAGGCCCTTATAGTAGTCTGAGTGTGTTTTAAATGGGACCACTTGGGGGTAAAAGTAGAAAATGCCTTTTTTGAGACATTGCTTTTGAAGGAGGCAATGAGTCCATCTCTCAATGGCTGTCAGGGACACAACATGACGTTGTGGGCAATCCTCTCTCTGCTGTAACAGATAATAGCCAGGCTGATTCCTGATCAAGGGCCGTGCAGCCGAGAGCAACGGAGAAGAGTGCGTCTGATTCCCAAATGCAACCCTCTGGCATGAGGCTTTTGACAGATGAATTATACCATCTTGCCTATGCCACCCACAGCAGATGAGTGGGATGGAAAAAGAAAAAGGCTGGCTTAAGCTTGTGGATGGAATAGCAATTCTGTCCTCTAGCTTGTCAGGAACAGCGGTGTATGGGTCCAAGCTTGTGGTGTTGTGCCCAGGCATTGGGTTTCACATAATCAGAGTCTTTGAAAGAAGAACAGAGGCTGAATAGGGGAGCCAAGATATCATCGGTCCTATCTTTGAGGCTATTGTACCTGCGTCAGTGTGGTGAATGCGAGTGAACAGGGACAGGTATGGAAACATCTGAGGCATTATCTCTGAATGACAGCTGATACCACCCTGGGAGAGAACCAGACAGTAAATACTGACAAGGTTTGTGTGTATCGGAGCGGTGATGTGGGACTGTTTGTGCACCAAGTTTTTGTTTTTCTTCGACTACTGAGTTCTCTCTCTCTCTCCCTGTGTGTGTGTGTGTGTGTGTGTGTGTGTGTGTGTGTGTGTGTGTGTGTGTGTGTGTGTGTGTGTGTGTGTGTGTGTGTGTGTGTGTGTGTGTGTGTGTGTGCCCTCGAAACTTGTGTGCATGTGAGAGAACGCATGGTGATGCAGGAGCACCAAACCTGCGGTTATCTGTCTCTTCCATTACTCACCAGGGCTTGGTGAGTTGTTCAATATTTCATCATTGCTGGTGGTGCTGAGTTCTACCAGACAGGTGAGGCCTAGTTTTTTTCTTTTCTTTACCTGAGGCAGCTGAAGGTTGCCTGGTAAAATGAAAACAGGAGCACAAGAAAGTTTTCCAATAACCAGTGTTGAAAAAGCAGAAACAAACTTCTTTTTCACCCAGATTACAGAAGAAGGGCAGCAAATGTCACACTGATCAAGGACATCCAAGCAACGACAAGTCAGTTGATAAAGTTTACCTGCAAGTCAGCAGCATCAAGTCAACCCCACACACCAAGAGCGTGCATAATTCTGCCCTGATGTGTCCTTGGGATATAAAGTGTGCAGACAAAGATAGACAGATTGTCATGCACAGATGCTGCCCTCACAAATGACCACTTTAATATCCGAAGTTTGTCATTATTTATCATCAATTTTTAGGACCCCCACAGAATCTCATACAAACTGGCAGATGAGTACAAATTGATGCAAATTAGAGACACAGAGAGACAAGCAATGTCTGGTTTTGACATATGGACTTAGGTTTATGACTATGAGAGCTAAATACGAGTCAGAACAAACAAACCGTCAAAGTAACCAAGTATTTAAAATAACGGACTAAATCTCTGCAGATTATATTCCCAAAGCGGACAAATGTTACCACACGCCCTGGATGGGAAACTTGGACATTATTACCCTATAATATTATTGTGTTGCATATAGTTAGTCATATGAACCTGAATAATTGGACTAATTGTGGTTGTTTCACAGCTCACTGAGTTAATCATGAAAGAGAGATTTTAAGTTAAAACGCACACATAATGATTATTTTTACTACTTTAATTGGTTTTTTTTTACATCATGTTGTGCAGCCAACAATATATCTACTACAACACTGTACAGATTTCTTAATGTCAAGTCTATCAATCTATTTTTTAATACTTTTTTCTTAATCATATTGATATACTTAGCCATTTGTTGATTTATTTATAGAAAAATGCTAGTTCACAATCAGGATTTCTCTTCTGCAGTCAGATCCAGGCTTATAATGGTGAGGATGAGACCATCAGTGTAACCGGTGTGTGCTTTCTTAAGTCTTTTTATAAAATATTCATGGTGCTTGTGCTAATGTTTCTCTTTCCCAGTCTGATCTGTGGTTGTTAAACTGACGTATTGATACCAAGTGGCTGAAATCTAAAATTAGCTTTGCTCTCATGGAATCTAATCAAAGAGTTCAAATAAGATCCGAACTCTCTTGATTTCAACATTTAGAATATTTGTGGTCATGTCACAGCTCTCTTTTTGATACATGAAATAGAGAAAAATACATAAATTGAAATGAGACCTGAGACTAGTAAACAAGTTTCACAACAAGAAGAGATGGCCACCTTGGGAATCTGGTCCGTTAAGAAGAAAATATGATGGACAACTCAACCAACCAACTAAACACAGAACCAACAACATGACAAACTAACAAAAGGACCGACAAACAGGACCGACAAACAGAACCGACAATAGCAGGAACAAACTGACCGTAGTGTGTTTGACGAAACGAACAAACCAATAAAAACTTTCAACACTGATTGGAAAATTAAACTAACTCCTGGTTTAGCAAAATGTAGAATCAAATATTGAACCATCTGAGTATAATACTGAGAAATAAATGAACAAATTAATGAACTGATGATTGGATAACTCTCTCTCCAAAAAACAGCACCAAAAGTGCACAATAAAAAATGGATGGTCGTACAAACAAATTGATAGAGAAAGATGATGGAAAAAAAACTACCAAGTGGGCAAATGAATGAACTGAGAAAATAACAAATTTCAGAATTAACATTAGATTAAACAAACTTGAATTAATTCTCCGTGACATGACAGACTGGACAAAACCACAGTGACCAGAACAGATGTCATAATGTTCAATTCAACTAATTCACTTTTGAACCGAGAACTGAATGAACTACAAACTAATTATAAAACAGACAAAAGCAATAAGGCATTAACGACATACAAAATGCTCTATTAAACTTTGAAACTGAAATAAAATAATTAAAATAGTTAATTCAAATTTTTGCATATATCAACGATGGCAGAAACGATATGGTTGCAGGTAGACTCACTGAATAAACTGACTAGCACTTAATGCCACATTGAAGTTGTCCTCTATTCGTCTCTCTTCATAATGTATTGATCGTCAAACCACTTTGAGCTGATCATGTCACCCTCTACGCCCCTGTTTTCAGCTCGCACAGCTGCTCGCCTCACATACTTTTCTCCTCATCTGCAGAATGTCCCACAAGTTGCAAACATTTAGGGTTTTTCAACTGCAAGTTAATTTTCCCAGCACATGTGTGAAGGATGTTGGTCATCAGATAAGATTTCAAAGCCAACAAAAAGAACAAGATACCAAATAAAGATGACTACAGGTCTGTTAATAATGGGGATACATGACATGTCTCTGTATCTCTGTTTTACTCACTAGAGCAGGTGTGACCCTCCTTATTTCAGGCACAGATGTATCAGTGGGAGATATTAAACACTAAGAAATCATAGCCAGTTAATGTTATGTCATATGTGTTTATCATGTCTATAAAGTTGCTGAGAATGGTTGCATGAAAATATCAGAATACAACAAATCTGCATCAATTTCTTAAACCCGTTATTTGAATTCTGATGGCTTAGGAACAAGCCTGTACAGAGCAGTGTTTGGAGATGCCTCTCTTTTCTCTTTTCCCTCTTTTCTCATCACTTGCTGTATTTTTAGAGCACAGGTTGCCCTTTTGTTTTTTTTTTGCCCACTACTCAGGGGATGATGGCTGACATTGGCAGCTGGTAGCTAAAATTGTCTAAAGTTTTTCCAGGGTGATGCGCTCAACATTGTGAGACACTGAGAAAAAGAGAAATATGCCTCCTCCTCTAACTTTTTCCCCCCTCTCTCTCGTGTTTTGAAGCAGTAGAAAAGGTGTATAACACAAAACTTACAGGATGCTGCATCAAGCTTGAGATAAACTTGAGAACAAATCACTGCAGACTGAGACAGCAACAGAAATATTTCCTATGACAAGAACATTTCTTTTGTTGGATTTACTCTACCGACGAATGATTAACCAACTAAATGTAACAAGAATTTTTGTAACATCTTGATAAATCACCATCTTATTTATCAGAAATCCAAAATGCTGCAGGCCACAGGTTGTCAGAGGAATATTCATAATATTTGCGGACATGAGATGATTCTCCTGGTGACAGACCCGACATATTGGTCCATCAATGCTCCCTTCTGCAGGCGGTAATGACAGACCAGGATAAGATTCATAAATCAGAAGCCTGTGGGGAGGGCAGCTGACATTGATGCATGTGAGGACAGGGAAAACACAGCAGAGAGAGAGCAAAAGACAAAGGGACACGCTGAATGACTTCTTGTGCAGAAGGCAGTGATGAGTGGTGCAAGAAGCCTAATAACTTATAACACCGGTGTGGGCTACATTATCGAGGATTCTCAGCACTTCAAGCTGCATAATGCCTCACATGAGCCGGACCCGCAGGCAACCACACGCCTTCATGCTTGTACAACCAAATAAACATGTGTTTTTATGCATACACATTTCTCCGCGGTGTGCCTTCAAGGTCATTGCCATAATGACTTACATTACCATAAATCTGAGGTTTAGTGGTGTTGCTCTTGTCCCCCACCCTGAAGGATCAAAGAGGAGGACTACATTATCTCAAAGGCCAGCCCTCTCCTCCCACTCTTTATTAAGACACTTTGTAAAGGGCCTGATGAGGACACAGCTCTGTGTGGCTATAAAATGCAAAGGTGATTTATTCTAATAACGAGTAAAAACAATAGAAGTTTGATTTTTAAAGCAGTCACTGAGGATTTTTGTCATAAAAAAATAACTAAATAAGGGGAAAAATGTTGAAGGACGTAATGGTAGGACATAAAAATGAGCAACTATTTGGTATTGGTCAAGTAGAAGAAAGTGATTTTAAATACAAAGAGGTACTTTGAAGCTCACAGCCAGAAAAAAGTTGGGGTGCAGTACAAAATGTTGGTTAAAACAGATTTTGATGGTTTGATAATAAGTGATGTTGATGATGTTTTGTCAAAAATGGTGCAAAGACAACTTTGGAAATGATTAAATTGTCTAATAAAGAATATGTGCTCATTTTAAAATTGAAAACAACAAGTTAAAAAAAAAAAGGGTAACGCTTTACAATAACCACATAACTTATAAATGGTAAATAGACCATTTATAAATGGTAAGCAGATCGTTTATTAATGTTTAATCATCATTTATGAATGGCATATAGACCATTAATAAATTGTACATTTTACAATTTTTAAAACCTAACCCTAACCCTAATTTTACAATAACCATCAAAGTAATGTTTACTACAAACATCAGTTGCAACTTGACATTAACCATTTTTCATGACCTGGCTCAGTTTGTCACAACAAAAAGAAGAAGGAAGACACACACCATGTATAAACTCCCAAACAACTCTTTATTAATTCAAATTGAACTGAATTAGAATGCAAGATATGAGGTGTGTAAATCAGTAAAAATTGGTATTGTGTAAGGCATGCATGGGTGGAAGTAGGTGTATGTGTGTAAGGGTGTTGTAACGAGCAAACATAAACTACAACTAAACCAAGCCTAACCAAACCAAACCAAACAAAAATAAGTCAAGACAAGTCAAACCAAACCAAGTCAAACCAAGTACCTGTAAAGGCAGTCAGGAGGAACAAAAGAGGGAATTGCAAGTAACTGTGGGAGCTTAAATACTCCCAGCACCCAGGGCCCAGGTGTGCATAGCTGCTCTGATTACGGTGCAGAGAGAAGCCAACCAGACACACCTCCCACAGCAGCAGACCCTGTAGGGGCATCACACCATCTAAGTAATGTTTACAGATGGTTAAAAAAACAAGTATTAACCATTTACAAAGTGCTACTGCCACACACTTTAATCTAGATGTTTTACAACCAACCTTTAAACCAGGGGTGGGCAATCATGTGCCATGGAGGGCCGAGAGGCTACAGGTTTTCTTTCCAACCCAAAACTCCACCAGGTGATTTCACTGATTACCTTACCTCCAGGCAGAGAGCAGGGACTAATCAGTGAAATCCCCTGGTGGAGTTTTGGGTTGGAAAGAAAACCTGCAGCCTCTCGGCCCTCCATGGCACATGATTGCCCACCCCTGCTTTAAACCCTATATGAACCTTTAATAAATAATCCATTAATAATTAATGAAAGTTATTAATCATAATGTCATTGCTTGTT